CTACAGCCCAGGAGATGGGAGACCAGTCTCAAATCCATTTCCCCCACTGACTAAAATGAAGAATTTATATAGCAGGGAAGAAATGAAGCCATGTGTGGGAAAATAGGAATTCAAGAGGGTTAAGGAAGCAGGTGGCCAGTTAGGCAGTCATGATAGGTGAGGGGCTCTGGTGTCTCAATGTCCAGATACCAAGATCTGGTAAGTTTTAGTTCCTTGCCACTATCTGGGAGGGCTAATTGTTGGTTTCCTGAGAAAGAAACTCAGATAAGACAAATGTAACTTTCTGAAGTTTTAAGAGTGGGAGAATCAATTTCTATGTTTATTCAAAGAAACCAGAAACATCAATTCTATGGGACAATTGGGCTGGTTTTAGTCCTCCACCCCCCTTTCTATTTATCACTCCTTGATATGGTTTGGCTGTGTTCCCACCTCTCATCTTGAATTCCCACATGTTATGGGAGGGACCCAGTGGGATATCATTGAGTCATGAAGACAAGTCTTTCCCGTGCTGCTCTCATGATAGTGAATAAGTCTCATGAAATCTGATGGGTATATAAAGAGGAGTTTCCCTGCGTAAGTTCTCTTTCTTTGCCTGCTGCCATCCATGTAAGACATGACTTGCTCCTCCTTGCCTTCTGCCATGATCATGAGGCCTCCCCAGTCATGTGGAACTGTAAGTCCATTAAGCCTCTTTCTTTTGTAAATTGCTCAGTCTCTGGTATGTTTTAGCTGCAGTGTCAGAACGGACTAATACGGAAAATTGGTACCAATAGAGTGGGGAGCTGTTGAAAAGATACCCAAAAATATGGAAGCGACTTTGAAAAAATATGGAAGCGACTTTGGCAGAGGTTGGCACAGTTTGGAGAAGAAGACAGGAAAATATAGGAAAGTTTGAAACTCCCTAGAGACTTGTTGAATGGCTTTGACCAAAATGCTGATGATATGGACAATGAAATCCAGGCTGAGGTAGTCTCAGATGGAGATGAGGAACTTGTTGGGAATTGGAGCAAAGGTGACTCTTGTTATGTTTTAGCAAAGAGACTGGAGGCATTTTGCCCCTGCCCTAGAGATTTGTGGAACTTTAAACTTGAGAGAGATGATTTAGGGTACCCGATGGAAGAAATTTCTAAGCAGCAAAGTTTTCAAGAGGTGACTTGGGTACCGTTAAAGGCATTCAGTTTTATAAGGGAAGCAGAGCATAAAAGTTTGGAAAATTTGCAGCCTAATAATGTGATAGAAAAGAGAATTCCATTTTCTGAGAAGAAAGTCAAGCCAGCTACAGAAATTTGCATAAGTAACAAGGAGCCGAATGTTAATCCCCACAGCAATGGGGAAAATGTCTCCAAGGCATGTTAGAGACCTTTGCAGCAGCCCCTCCCATCACAGACCTGGAGGTTTATGAGGAAAAAATGGTTTCACGGGCTGGGCCCAGGGTCTTTCTGCTGTGTGCATTCCAGGGACTTGGTGCCTGTGTCCCAGTTGCTCCAACCGTGACTAAAAGGGGCCAAAGTACAGTTTGGGCCATGGCTTTGGAGGGTGCAAGCCCCAAGCCTTGGCAACTTCCATGTGGTGTTGAGCCTGCAAATGCACAGAAGTCAAAAATAGAGGTTTGGGAACTTCTGCCTAGTTTTCAGAAGATGTATGGAAATGTCTGGATTCCCAGGCAGTAGTTTGCTGCAAGGTTGGGGCCCTTATGGAGAACCTCTGCTAGGGCAGTATAGAAGGGAAATGTGGGGTTAGAGTCCCTACACAGAGTCCCTACTGGGGCACTGCCTAGTGGAGCTGTGAGAGGAGGGCCACCATCCTCCAGACCCAAGAATGGTAGATCCACTGACAGTTTGCATCATGTGCTGGGAAAAGCTGCAGACACTCAATGCCAGCCCATGAAGGCAACGAGGAGGGAGGCTGTACCCCACAAAGCCCCAGGGGTGGAGCTGCCCAAGGCCATGGGAACCCACCTCTTGCATCAGTATGACCTGGATGTGAGACATGGAGTCAAAGGAGATCATTTTGAAACTTTAAGCTTCGACTGCCCTGCTGGATTTCAGAATTCTACGGGACTTGTAGCCCCTTTGTTTTGGCCAATTTCTCCCATTTGGAATGGCTTTACTTACCCAATGCCTGTACCCCTATTGTGTCTAGGAAGTAACTAACTTGCTTTTGATTTTATAGGCTCATAAGTGGAAGGGACTTGCCTTGTCTCAAATGAGACTTTGGACTATGGACTTTGGAGTTAATGCTGAACTGAGTTAAGACTCTGGGGTAGTGCTAGAAAGACATGATTGGTTTTGAAATGTGAGGACGTGAGATTTGGGAGGGATCAGGTGCAGAATGATATTGGTTTGGCTATGTCTCCACCCAAATCTCATCTTGAATTCCCACATGTTGTGGAAGGGACCTATGGGAAGTAACTGAATCATGGGGGCCAGTCTTTCCCGTGCTGTTCTTGTAATAGTGAATAAGCCTCATGAGATCTGATGGTTTTATAAAGAGGAGTTCCCCTGCACAAGTTCTCTGTCTTTGCCTGCTGCTATCCATGTATGACATGACTTGCTCCTCCTTGCCTTCTGCCATGAGTGTGAGGCCTCCCAGCCATGTGGAACTGTAAGTCCATTAAACCTCTTTCTTTTGTAAATTGCCCAGTCTCAGGTATGTCTTTATCAGCAGCGTGAAAACAGACCAGTACAGTTCTCCATCATGAGGAATCTGGCCACCAATCTTTTTGGCTGCTTCATACTGAGGAGGGGCGTTGTGGGCAGCTTCATACCATGGGTGAACACTTGGCCACCCAGGAATCCAAGGTTAATATAATACTATAATTTTCTTCTGAAACACAATCTTTCTCTCCTGACAGTTCCTCCCCTCCACCAAAGACAAATCACTACAGGGCCATCTTTTATTGATACTACACAAACATTTTATTCAAAAGCAAAAAAAAAAAAAATTTATCCCAATATAGTCTCAGGTATTTTGCTACAACAGAACAGACAGACTCAGGCGTTTTGCCTGCTCACCTCTTATCTTCAGGTGAGAGGTATCAGGTGTCTCCACCCCCACGGTCCTGCTGGCAGCACCCTAGCATACTCACAGGCAGGAAGCAGGAACTTAGGGGTGGCTTCCAAGGAAGAAAGGTATCATGATGAGAAACACTTGTGGGGCCTGAGCTGACCCAGGCATGAGAGGGAGGGAGAGAGCGTCAGGCAGGAGAACCAATGTGGACACGAGAAACAGAGGAAGGTGGGACAAGCCCCTGGAAGAGAAGGGGACACCACAATACCGGGCACACCTCTGCCACTGAAGAGCTGCTCGGTGACTCCTCATAGTCTGCAAAGCAACCTCCTCATAATCTATAGCTCACCAAGTCAGACTACGAATTTAGGACATAAGCAAGGCTGAGGAATTTTATCTTTCTTCCCGCAATTTAGGCACTCAGTCTCCCCCACAGACTTGTGCCTCTCGTGACAGCCACGCTTAAGGACAGCAGCAGGCAGCTGGAGGATCATTCCCTCTGGCTGCTGCCCCAGCTGTATTTACCTCCGGGCATAGTGACTATCTAAGATCTGGAACAACCTCTAAGAACAGGGAACAGCCTTGACGTCTGAAAGAACATTACAGCTGGGGAAAGCTTGCTCCAGCAACTTCCCTCTCACTGAGTTCTCTTTGAACTCTGAAAAGGGAGGGAGCTGAGGAAAGGCATAGAAGTTGTTCGGGCTATTGAGGCCAGAGGAAAAGAGTTCCAGATTTAAATGATATCAATCCAGCTGTAAACCATGCAATCCGCTGAGTATCAACTGACATGCAGACACAAAAGTGAATGCTTGCTTAAACTAATGTGAGGGGAATGAAAATTATTCTGCTCTTACAGGAGCACTGCCTGGCTGAGCAGGCGGTCTGGGCCAGCCACACAGAGATTGGTAGAAGGACTCCTGTCCCTGTCTACTCACAGCAAATGAACTTGGCTCCTTTCTTAGGGCCCTCCAGGATACAGGCTCCCCATTGTGCTTTGAGAATGAAGTTTGTGCTGAATGGGGAAGAGGGAATTTTACATTTGCTTACGTTAGAAGGCACTATCGCCAATGAGAGCCAAATAACCCAAGAATTTTGGCACTAGAAGGGACTTTAGGCCATTTAATTCACACTCATCATTTTAGACAGAGAAACTGAGAAAGAAGAAAGAGATTTGTACAAATTCACTGGTAAATTCTCACAAAGTTGAGTCTAGAATCTAGCAGACACTCAGACCCATCCTCCTCCCTTTCCCTGCTGCCTCCATGGAAAATGTGGTGGTTTTCCTGGCTTGTTGTGGTTCTCTGAAAGCCCTTCGATTATCAGAGCTCACATTCACCTAGGCGTATTTCCTCAACTCACCAGCTGGGGCTGAATGAGGCTCAAAGACCAGTGGAAAGAGAGTGCTTGCTGAAGGGTGCATGGTGGACTGAGAGAGAGGGGCTATGAATTAGATTCATGACTTTACACTACCCACTTGAGAACTTCATTTTCAAATGTGCAAGAAGAAACAGACGCTCTTACTACACCCAACTAATCATTCACCATGTGTCAAGTCCAGTGAGGAGGTGAACAGGCGCAAACAGAACTCTTGAGGCATGCTTGGTTCTGCATCAGTAAGTTATGATCTCTCCCTAAAAAAATCAGTCACCTCCTGTGGTTGGACACAAGTAGAGACTGTGGGTCCCCACCCCGATTAGCTTGCTACCAAGTGGAGCTGTTGCAATAAATGCAAGTCTCAGCTCAGACCACATTTCATCAAATGCAGGGATCTTTGTTACATACCAGATTATACTAATCTTTAAAAACCTTGCTAAGAGGTTTTTGCTCTCTCTCTCTCTCTCTCTCTCTCTCCCTCTCTCTCTCTCTCTCTCTCTCTCTGTCTCTCTCTCCTTGCAACCTCTGGCTCCCCCAGACAAAAAACAGCAGAAATGCCCAGGCAAGAAGGGGTTGCTGTCCTGGGCTCTGTCCTTTAAAGGGTCTCTTTCTGCCCCCTCCTAGGCACCCTCTTTCCACAGGTGATGAGTTACAGGGCCCAGGGAATGTGTCTGCACCTGTGACTCATCACTGGTGGAAGCCCATACGCCACCCAAACCACTCTTTTGTGCCCAGGATCCCAAGGGCCCTGAACCCACTTCAGGCCTCTTCAGGGGGTCTGAGTCCTGAGGTCATCTGTCTCATGGCTGTCCTCATCCCTAGGCCACCAGGCAGCCATTTATAAAGAATGGGCTTTGCAGACTGGGGTGTCTTTAATATGGGATGAGGGATGGAGCTGGGAGCAGACAGAGAAAGGAGACACTGGGACAAGCAGATGGAACAAGACAGAGAAAGGAGCAGACAGAGAAAGGAGACACTGGGACAAGCAGATGGACAAGCAGAAGTCCAATAATTCTACATCCAAACTTCATATTCTAGGTCCCTCTGAATATATATTTTTCAAAGCAAGAGGATAGAATATGTTCTATATTATGGTTTCTTGGCTGGATTTATAGCTTTTAGATATTTAAACATATGCTATGTGGGTCTCCATTTGCACTCTTGCCCCAGCCTGCAAATGTTGGAGACAGGTTTTTGAAGCAAACACAAAGACCAGTTTCCTATGGTTAGGCGGTGGGGGGCAAGGGGAGAGTGGTCTTATCCTTGGAGATGTCACACCAGTGGGCTCTAGACCCCTAGCCCTACACAGATGGCATAATTATTGGGCTTGATCATTTTTATCCCTTACTCATACAAGACAATTAGTCCTATTAGATTACTCCTAACCAAACAAAAAAATCTGCTGGTTTGCCAAATCAACAATTACTTTTAACACCTTTGTGTGCAAATAAAGGAAACTCAGTTGTTGACACGGACTAGAGTTCACTTGTTTGTGTTATCCACTAATTAATCAACCCTAAAGAGTAAAAGCAGATTAGGATTAATTGGTTTACACACATAGTCCATTACTTATGCTACAGTATTTAAAAATAATGACCACAAGGCCAGGCATGGTGGCTCACACCTATAATCCCAGCACTTTGGGAGGCCGAGGTGGGCAGATCACTTGAGATTGGGAGTTTGAGACCAGCCTGACCAACATGGAGACACCTCGTCTCTACTAATAATACAAAATTAGAGGGGCGTGGTGGCGCATGCCTGTAATCCCAGGTACTAAGGATGCTGAGGCAGGTGAATCACTTGAACCCTGAAGGCAGAGGTTGAGACGAGCTGAGATTGCACCACTTCACTCCAGCCTGGGCAATAAGAGCAAAACTACATCTCAAAAAATAATAATAATAATAATAATGACCACAAATACAGCATAGCAGCCAGCCTGCCAGAGTTCCCCTTTTGGTCCTAAACTGGACACACCTGGTGGCTGTTGGCAGCCGCTCTCAGGACGAGGAATCTACGAGGCCCCAGAAGCCCAGAACAAAGGCTCCTCTCCCCCCAGAAAGGGCATGCCAGCCCCCAGCATGATGTATATCACCGTTTCAGACAATCTTTCTTTAACCCAATAAGCCACATCCCCCAGGCCTATGCCCAGGTTTGGGGTTCTAAGGTACTTACTGCACGTTTACATAAAATCATTCTTTTTTTCTGTGCCAGTGCTCCATATTAAGCAACTTCCCTTTATCTGCACTTACATTGCAGGATCTAAGAATTTTCTACCCACATCCACTTGGGGGCTTTCCATGGGCAGATTTGGCCATGACCCACCACATGCTGTTTTTCCAACTCTTTGCTGTGTTTACTCTTCATGCAAACTTGGGTTATTCCAATAATTGTTTTTCAGTAATTTGGAGAGTTATGGGAATGCAACGTTGAGCCCAAAAGGCAAGATCAGAACTAAAACTTGTGACATTAAATATCCAAGAGTTCTATCCAAAATCTTCTAGAAAGTTAATGAGAACCCCAGGCAAATCAACTGGAAGAAAAATATTTACCATTTAGCATGAGACAGTTGCAGGTACAAATCTTAGTCTACAGAAACGTAGACAAGCTGATCAGTGGGTTCCATTCCGGTTCACCTAGGACACACAATACCACATTCAAGAATTCCCTAATGAATATACAGTTCTTACTTTCTCTGTGACCCAGCTCCCTCCCTGCAAGTCCCCAGAGACTAGGAACAGGGAATTTCAAGTGGAGCACCACATATTCTCCTAAATCTCTTGTATAAGTCAGAGTCCTTCCTTCACACACAAGGGCTTTAAAAACTCAAAAGCCAGGAAAATGGTCTTCTATATCTCTGACCCCTGTTGACCGTCCCTTCAGTAAGGCAATGAGGACAGACTAACATTGCTCAAAAAAGCAAGAAGTACTATGGCAGGCCGAGGCTGGGGGATCACCTGAGGTCAGGGATTCGAGACCAGCCTGGCGAACACGGTAAAACCCTGTCTCTACTGAAAACACAAACATTAGCTGGGTGTAGTGGCACATGCCTGTTATCCCAGCTACTTGGGAGGCTGAGGCAAGAGAATCACTTGAACCTGGGAGATGGAGGTTGCCGTGAGTGGAGATTGCGCCACTGCACTCCAGCCTGGGCAACACAGCGAGGTTCTGTCTCAAAAATAAATAAATAAATAAAAACAAAATAAAAAGAAAAGAAGTAGGTGAGAGGGTTAAGAAAGAAATACAGGAGGAAAAAAACTATATAATACTTCAAAATTAATATCCAACCATAATACTAACAGAGTTTTGAATACATTTCCATATAGCCTGTTGATTAAAAACCTTTCTTTAAAATATAGATATGATTACAAGCCTCCAACAGTTTCAGATCCCCACAAAGGAAGTATTAGAAAGATCCTGCTACATTTGGAAAATGAAGTGCTGGCACCACTGAGATATTTGTCTGGGAGACCTACGATTTGCATGGGCAGAGAAAACATTCACATGGAATATTCAACCACAAAAGCATCAGATCCTGGGAACAAAACTAACAATTTCCCAAACACTTCCAAAACATAGCTCTGACCTCTACTCCGTCAAAAATTCTGACTTAATTTTAGGAGATTCTGCTCTATTTCTTAAATCAAACGTCCCTATCTCTCTTGCACCGTGAATGCTCTGAATCGACCAGTAAGACAAAAGCAACATTAAAACCAACAGTGAGGGCAATTTCAGCATCACCTTGCTCTCCTCCAAGACATCTCCTAGTTACCTTGCTCCTTTCTCCCTGCCAGACCTTGAGTTCTCTTTTCCAAAACATGGCTTGAGCACCTTCTTCAAGAAGTCTTCCTCATGTCTCTTATCTTGTTCTAATCATCCCATGGCTAGTGTAAGTAGCACAGATCCCATCTGCATTCCAGTTTTATGTGGTCCTGTTGTTTCTTCCTGTCTTCCATTAGCCTATAAGCTCTATTGTACAAGGTCTACACACTCATATCCATCGTAGTACCCGTAACCATGTTGCACAATATTCTGCATACGGAGGGAACTTAATAATTTTTGCAGTTTGACTTCTGGGTCTCTATTCTGGCTCCTGGGTAATCATTTATCAGCAAACAAATTAGTTATCAGCGAAACAGCCATGGTTTCCAGAGTGAATCATTTGTATTTCCACTGCTGGAAAAAACAACACATAGCACTTTCCTTGCAGAGAGGCATGCGGTCAGAACGTCACGGGCAGATCTCACCTGAGAGTTTTGACACTTGTAACTCTGACCTGGAAAGGTGAATCAGGGTTTATTTTGATTCATGTGTTTTTCCAGGTTCCTTTAGCCTAAATGTATAAAAGTCAGAGAATGTGATCACCATAATATTGGCAACAACAATGACAAAGATATACACATACAGTCACTGGCTGAGCACCCACCAGCACGATTGCTGGAAACCAAGCCGCACCACACCTGCCGAAGCATCCAGGACCACCTACTCATTGCAGGCTCAGCAGCCGTGCCCACCTTTGTCCATCCCAGGTACGGCTCCCCCAGGTGCCAGGCTACTTCTCTCTCTTCTAGAGGCTGCTGTTCCTGCCGGCACCCAGCACCTGCCTCCTAGCTCTAAGCCTGTGGGGCAGCCAGGACAGTCTTGCCTCTGGCCTCCCTTAATCCCATACTTCCAGGTGAGTGGCTTTGCATGGCAGCCCAGCCCTGGGGAACTTTTCAAGGGAGTGGGCTTCTTTCCCTCCCTAACTCCCTTACCCTCACCCAACTCCACCCCATACTGACCCTTTACCATCGCCAGTTGTTGCCTTGCCAGGTACTGGTGGAACACCTACATCTCTGCCTATCACAGGGCTTGGACACACAGGCGTTGGAGTCAGGTAGGCTGTGTTTCAATTTTGAACCCCCTACACCAATTGCTTCTCTTTTCTGAACCTCAATTTTGTCATCCACAAAATGGAGATAGTATAATAATACCCGCCTTATGGTGGTGGTGTGAAAATTAAGCAGTGATGTCACTCATAATGATAACAGCAGTACTGACCAAGGGACTTCTACGCGCTGGGTGCCATGCAGTGTTTTGTACCTCTTCTTGAAGCCCGGCATGGCGTCTAGCCCAGAACAAGTAGTCAGCAGCTTCCTTCCCCCTCTTCTTCTTTCTTTTCTTCTCCCTCCTTCATTCCCTAAATCAAATAGGTCCCTTGTGGGGGCTTTTTCCTCTCTGCAGCATCTTCCCTTCTTCTACAGGCCATCTGAGAGAACCCAGACCCCTACCCCCAGACTCCCCACCCACCAGAAACAGGAACTTTTTACTCTCCTGTCCAAGTCCCCCACCCAACAGGGTAGCTCCATTTCTGTTTCCAGCCAGGTTTCCAAGCTCCAACCCCATGTTGGGGCTCTGCACCTGGTGTTCTGTTGCTCCAGGGAACACAGATGGCCAATAGCTAGAGACAAGGCCAGCTCTGTGTTCTCCTGGACCACAGAATGTGCCCCTGAGAGCCCTTTCCTTCCACTTCAGCACACACGCAGGCCATTTGTGCCAGGAATGCTGCAAAATACTGACTGGACACAGATAATCAATGCTTAAGCATAATGGTCTCCAATGGAGCAGGAGAAGGTCAGGAACCAGCGGGGCATAGCCATGCCCCCATCCTGGGGGAGGCAGTCAAGAGGAAGGGCCCCTGGGGAAAGAGGGAGCTGCACCTCGCATCAGG